GTAACTAAACCAATGCTTGAAAACATCTTAGACTTCCTTACATTTTTACATTTGTCAAATTGTTGGACATAAACTGAATGAAGAAGCAGTGCTGGCAAGGTTTTGTTGTTCAAAGGAACCGAATAACTAATTAGCTGTTGGACAATGATACACTTGTAAAGACTAGGCTGCTGTCTAGATCTTGGTGTATTTGACAGAATTACTACAGTTCCTTGATATACAGCTTTTGGCAAATTACAAAACACGAACCTGATTGAAGTATGGTATGTTATATTTGTTATCTTATATTTGATAGAATTGATTGGCATAGAGTGAATAACGAACCCGCTGCCAGCATGTTATTCATTATTTGAAAAACGAATAACAAAAAAATCTTATGTTTGATAGAATTGATGGACATGTACCGAATAACGAACCATATTAGGTGATGGTTAGTTTATTCGTTATTCAAAACAGTGCTGATATTACTAACGAATGCTGGGTTATATAGACTATCCTATATTAGATAGGTCTGATGGGCATAGAGGGAATAACCAACCCACTGCAAGCACGTTATTCGTTAATTGAATAACGAATAACGAAAACAGCTTATGTTTGATAGAATTGATGGACATGTACCGAATAACGAACCCGGTGATGGTTAGTTCTTCGTTATTCAGAAGTGGTATACCTGTAGAAGGAACCTGCTGTCTTTCATTACATGGTTTTCAGTGTATATGACCACACCACTAGATGTTTCATATACATTGCCTTTGAATAACGAAACCGTTGCTAGCACGTTATTTGTTATTCGACATTAGTCCAAATCTGAATAACGAACCTGGTGCTGGTTAGTGTTTCGTTATTCAGAAGTGCTGAATACCTAAACAGCTGTTTGAATATAGACTGTCTTACTTTTTATAGATCTGATGGGCATAGAGTGAATAACGAACCCGCTGCTAACTTATGTACGTGAAAAATATGTCATGTCCATCTGATGATACTACAGATGATGACGATGATGATGATGATGATGATGATGATTCCAGTTAGTGTTTAATTGTTTATAGTTCAAAGTAATATTAATTGTCTTCTCTCATTACGTTAACCTAGTATCAGTTTTCAAAATGACCAGGTTATTTCCATGTAAAAGCATATCTACTTCGCGGAAGCGCTCCCATTTCTGTCGTAACACTCAACATTTACATGAAACAACTATTCTATAAGTGTCATGAAACACTTAGTGTCGGTAAACTTCTCATTCTGCTATCCTCGCAGTCTTGAATGGGTGGACTGCTGTCCTTGTCAGACACAAAGAAATAGGATATAGCTTGTAAGTTATCGATCTTGGCCCAGGCACAACACTCCCCGAAGCCCGGTCGTGATAAACCCCACTCCAGGGCAAGGAGGTGTTTTCATTCCATGATCGAATATCCAAGTATTTCACATGCCCGATCTTCATTTTAGTAGATTTAAAAAACAAATATCTTAAAAGAATTCAACTGATCTTAAAAATGACCAAAATAGGGTAAGGTGAAAATCAATTTAAAAAATGTGATCATAGACATATAAACTGTTTGTGAAGTGCAGATTTGTGCTGGCCACAGGGGTTGTAATCGGATGAAAGAATTATATACTACTGGAATAAAGTAGCTGTGCATAATTTGATATTATGCCATTTATTAATGCAAAAAATTAAAAACATAATTTGTGGTGTTTTCCTTAATCGCTGATTAACTGATGACAGGAGAATATCGAAATCTGTATGACCTGAAACTAGGCATCGTGACTGGCCCTTGAAGAGATGTGGTGTCAAAAGTCAGGTCACAAATTCAGTATCGTGTGTGTCCAACATTGGCGTTGGTGCAGGCTTGACAACGACGACGCATAGACGACACTAAGCGATGGAAGTAAGCTTGGGGAATGTTGGTTCATGTCTGAACCAACGCTTGTCCAAATTCAGCTAACATCAGTGGCTGATTCTGGACTTGACGTAAACGACGCTCCATTTCATCTCAAACTCAATAGGGCACAGGTCAGGAGAAACAGCTGGCCAAGGGAGTACCGGAATATTCTGCTGTCTCAGGAAATCTGTCACAACACGAGCGACATGTGGACGGGCATTATCTTGCTGAAGCGTGAAGTTACGTCTCTGTCCTTTAATAAACGGCTGCACACGAGGCCCAAAGATCTCATCCACGTATCGCAGATCTGTCAGATTGCCATTGTTCATGACAAGTTGTATCCGACAATGAGATGTCGACGTCGAACAACGTTGAGACCTGTGACACCTTTGACTTCAGATATTGTAAGCACCGAGCCAACATGGACGAAGCATGATTATTTTCGTTTGTGGTAGACCCAGAACTATTCCAGCAGTATGACGACGGCTCGTAAATAACAGAAATATCAATCCAATGATTGATATTATGAATAACGTTCCACCACGAAACAAATCTTTTCTATGAACAAGTGCTACGGTCATTCAAAAGTCCCCGACTAACGGACAATGTAGTTACAACACACACAGCTAGTCAATCGGAAATATTGAAAGATATCCAATTCCGGTTTTATAAACATTTTGCTGAAGTAAGGATAACATGAGTAGGTGAATTTAATTTTACCCTGCTTTTAGCAATATTCCAGCAATATCACTATGGGGGAATCGAACCCGTGTCTTTGGCCTGACGAGCGAAGGTTTTTACCACTAAGCTACCCCGCCATCCCTATGTGGGTGCACGACGTTACGATGAGGAACGTCGACTCGGTTTATATTCTAACATCGTTATCAAGCAAGTCATGTACGGCCGGCCGGGTAGTGTAGGGAGGCATATATACAGATACAAAGTAGTGGTTTTAGAATAGAGCAGAGAAGCCTGTTAGGTACACATTGCAGAAGATCTAAGGTAACACACAGAAGGATTATGTCAGATTGGAGTCTTTATTGAGTTGACGATGGGAAATACTGAACAGAAATGAATACACACAGAGCGTGTCCTTAATCAGCTGTAAAACAGGAGTGAGTGAGTGAGTTTAGTTATACGCCACACTCAGCAATATTCCAGCTATTTGGTGGCAGTCTGCAAATAATTGAGTCTGGACCAGACAATCTACTGATCAACAACATGAGCATCGATCTATGCAATTGGGAACCAATGTCACGTGTCAACTAAGTCAGCGAGCCTGACCACCCGATCCCGTTAGTCGCCTCTTAGGACAAGCATATGTTACTGAAGATCAGTTCTAGCCCGGATCTTCACGGGTCTGTTCCCGAAAAGAGAAACAGAAATTTAACTATACTGAACAGCAAAAGAAACGCAAGTTTCGAAAAAATGAAATCTCATGAAGGTAAGCGTTCATGTTTATGGAAAGTTCATGGTAAAGTGACGTAATGATCCCAGATGAGATGATGTCATGCAATTTGACGTCCATACGAACCATTCGCACAAACACACCAACAGTGCAGCAAAACCATAATTTTAGCACGTGCACCGACGGTTCTGGATGGAAAGCATGCATTTCACTCTGAGGTATCCTTTATAAAGGTTTGTGTCAAAAAAACAGTTCAGTATTGACACTAGGAGATGTACACGCCACACAAACGATGCCTAGACTAACGACTGAGCAGAGAGGAATGGCCATTGGAAAGTTGCACGGAGGTAGCTCTGCAACCGCTGTAGCTAGACAATTGGGCTGTCATCTTACCACCATTACACGACTTGCTCAACATCATCAGCAAAAAGACCAGTGAACAACTTGGGGTAGAATAGGTCTTCAGCAACCCATGTGCTTGCCATAAAAAGGCGACTATACTTGTCGTAAGAGGCGACTAACGGGATCGGGTGTTCAGTTTCGCTGACTTGGTTGACACATGTCATCGGTTCCCAATTGCGCAGATTGATGCTCATGCTGTTGATCACTGGATTGTCTGGTCCAGACTCGATTATTTACAGACCGCCGCCATATAGCTGGGATATTGCTGAGTGCGGCGTAAAACTAAACTCACTAACTCACTCATCAGCAAAACGGGGTTGCTGCTGATCGTCCCCGTACCGGACGGCAACGAGTGACATCTCATGCGCAAAATCGGTTCATCCGGGTCACTCATCTAAGGAACCGAACTCAAGCACCAACAGTAACAGCAGCCTTAGTTCATGGGTCAAGGGGAGTAGTGTCCAGCGATACGTTTAGGCGTCGTCTTCGGGCTGCTGGAATCCACTGCCGAAGGCCATATGTGGGGCCAGTTTTGACACGCCAACAACGCCAGCGACGTTTGCAGCCCTCCCACAGCAGGTTTGTCGATGGATTATCTGGCTCAAAACAACATTAACGTTTTTCCATGGCCGTCTCTTTCCCCTGTATATAGCTCCCATTGAACATTCTGGGACGAAATTGGACGGAAGATTGGTGCAGGTAGACAGCCACTCACACTTGCACAATTGGAATAGAGATTGGTGTTTGAGCGGAACCATTTGCCTCAGGCATTCTTTCAGACTCTAATGAACTCAATGAGGCCACGTTGCACGGCTTGTGTGCAACATCAAGGTGGCCATACACGCGACTAAAGAGACTGTCACTTTTCGCGTTCAGGGGTATCTCCATTTGACGGACTGTGATCAATTTGAACTTATTGCAATTCAATGTCAACAGCAACTTTCAGCTGTTAAATTGACAGTGTTGTCTATAGAATAAATGATGGGACATGATTTTGGTTGTCTTCTATTCACAAACTTGCCAAAAAGCCAGACTTGCGTTTCTTTTGCAGTTCAGTATATATAATGACTTGGAAACACCTGTGATTTGTGACCCCATATATCCACTGATGTTCATATCATTATCATGTTTGTATGATTATGTTTACCATTCGGACGCACCATACACTGATTTTAGATGTGCTAAAACGTGCTTCGATCAAAGGCGAGTATCAATACGTGTATCCCTCATTCAACAAATATCACGTTTTTATGCCTTTATGCCTTTAACTAATCTGCCACGTCATTTCTAAATATAGATGTCAGTTACCTTCCAGGAAATGACAGCAGACGGGTGTACGGGTGTATGTCTACCTGACCAACGTCCCGTTGCTCATACCACAGGTGAGTCGTGTAGATATTACGCAGACGGAGGGAGGACAGAGGTCTTCCTTTGTCAGTGAAGTGACCATAATTTAATATTAACATATCGGTGAAAGAGAGTGTGTCTGTACTTCAGTTTATCCTGCACATGGTGACATTGGAAGTCCCGCTACGCTGACCTAGATAAACATGGCTGATTCGCTACGCTGGTGCAAGAGTGCACAATGGCGACCTGCAGTAGAACAAACAAACATATATGCAAAAATATATACTGGACAAAAATAGTTAGGGATACATGTAAATTTTGAAATTATGAATAATGATCTATTTATTCATTGACACACTGATAAAATACGAATATCCCTAACATATTTTGTCCAGTATATTTACTACAAAAAATACCACGCTAGGTTAGATTGTTTTCTTAGAATGTTAAAAAATATTGTTTTGTGATGTATACGTTATCATAATAACGTCTATTGTTATTTCCGGTGAAGGAAAACATTATTAAAACTGCTAAAGTGAGTGAGTGGGGTTTTATGCCGCTTTTAGCAATATTCCAGCAATATAACGGCGGGACACACCGAGAAGAGCGATTCTGGATCCAAGGGACGTAACGCTACTCGACAAACCCCAGCGCCGTACGCTACATAATATCATGTGTACATCCTTAAAGTAATTCTGACCGCTGACTTGGTTGACACATGTCATCGGTTCCCAGTTGCGCAGATCGATGCTCATGCTGTTGATCACTGGATTGTCTGGTCCAGACTCGATTATTTGCAGACCGCCGCCATATAGCTGGAATATTGCTGAGTACGGCATAAAGCTAACCTCACTCACTCACCAAAGAAATTCTACATAAACGTCGGTTTCCGAATATCTAATTCAGCTTTTGAAACCTCGTCGGTTTAATGAGAATAAAATGATTTAACAGGTTGAACTGCCTTTGACATGAATACAGACAACTTGCCAACATACATCTCTCTGAATGACCTTGCCTGGACGAGGCAACTGGCGAGGGATGATGATGACACACAGGAAGCCCATGTACCAGATGCTGAAGTACTGTTCGGAACTCTCACTGGAACCTTTGAAAAATCATCAAGTTGCCCTTGGGTAAGTTACACTGTCATCTACGTGAAGTGTTTAAGGTGCCCTGACATGGGTAAGGCTGTCATCTTCGTAATGCGTTTAAGGTGCCCTGATATGAGTAACACAGCCCGTGTTGTAAAGCGTTTAAGGTGCCCTGATATGAGTAACACAGCCCGCGTACAGAAGCGTTTAAGGTGCAATTAAAGACTTCGGTAATAAATAGAAAATTATATTCGTGACCATAATATGCTAGGTTAACGACCTAAATATCGGCATATCCCTTCTCTGGTTCTGAAAATACCAAGATTTAGGCAGTTGTGTTGTATTTATCTTCTATAAAGTCTGCTATATTCAAACCATGAGAAATGTCGTCAAATAATGTCTGATGACAGTTACCAACGTCCCAATAGTGTCCATATATTTTAGAAATCTATAACAATAAAGCACAACCTCACTACTTTTTTTGATAAATGACAAAGGATTAATCAACCATATTAAAAGGTTTTCAGGCTTGAAGGACGAAGCTCATGAAAATCTATTGCCAGCTCCCTTTTACTGATAAAAGGTTCGAAAATGTGGGTCATAAATGCATGAAAGTTTTTATTGTTGTTCATACCCGTTAGGCCTCCCGCCTCTACATGTATTTGAGATATAACCGTTAGAACCACCACCACCCCCTCTATGTCTTAAAGTATGCTAGATATAACCATTAGAACACACCACACCACTTTTCTGCCCATTTATTCAATTGGGCTAAATCATAGTTGAGAGTTGCTTCTATGGATTTTACATATTTTCCCGCAACACCGATTGATGTGTCATCGGCCAACATTATTGTGATATTTTGTAAATTTCCAGGTAAATCATTGATATATACAAGGAACACAAATCAACCAAGGGCAGATCCTTGAGGAACCCCTGCAGTAACATTTAGTTTTTCATAATGTTCCATTAACAGAGACACACTGTCGTCTATCAGGGCCCGGTTGTTCAAAACTTGGTTATCTTTTAACCAGCCGTTAAATACATTTAACCGACTGTTACCTAATAACAGAGGGTTATCTTGTTGTTCAAAACTCTGTTAACTTTTAACAGGCTGTTAACGTGACGTTAAGTTAACACACCTAAGGACCGCCGCTAACTTTTTAACAGTGTGGTTAACTCGCAAATGGCGTTCATGGCTAACACTGCTTTCATGATGCCAGTTCAGCAAAGAAAGGATAGGGTGTATCGTGGACTGGACTTGGATATTGGAAATTATTCTGACGAAGAGTTACATACGAAACTGTATCTGTGCACATCATAGGAACTAAAATACATGTTGTACAAGTACATGATGCCTACGTTTCATCTTTTAACACTTGTGGAAAGGTTTATATATGCTTTACTACACTAAATGTGTGAATTTCTTCTGTAAATATTATTCAAACAAACACTTTCAAAGAATATAACACGTACACCCTATACCCACGTATGATATGATATTGAACAAGGCTACATGTAGATAATTAATTTAGTTTGATGAAAAAATATCCGAACGATTACATTATGATACTGAAAGTGTAATCGGCGGGATATGGTGATTGTGTATACTCTTATTCTACCGACCTTCACCTCAGAGAAATTGCCAAATACACTCCCATTTTAAGAAAGAAAAGAAGCCAGAAATGCCGATTATTACCGTTGTCGTTCTGCGTGATTTTGCGTCAGTCATGGCGTCACGCAGCACAGAAACTTGACAGTTTCGTGTAAACACATCACATTCCTGTATTGTATCTATTTTTAATTTCCTGTTTCTTGCTACTATGCTCTTTCTATGCAAATGGGTGTCTGAAAATTTGAGAAAATGCTACACAGTGTAAAGTCTGAAATTTTCTTTGTTTACTTTTCAAAGAGGTGTTGTCTTTCGAGCACAGCAGTTGTTTCCACCCCCAATATCTTTCGTTTCACTTTATCTAGACACTTGGTATTGGTGCCAAAAGGACCAGTTGTAATTAGATTCTAAAATGTATGAGGAATTCAGTAGGGATGGGACGAGTCGGAAACAATGGAATCGAGTACCCGCGTGTACGTACCCGAATCGGAATCGAGTACCCGGAAATGTAAGAAATACATTCGGGTCAACTTTCTGAATATTCAATCACGATTTGACATAGATTATTGTAGAAAACTTGAACAGTTGGTAATAAGACATTAAAACTGACCTCAAGCTATTTAATTTACGTCTGTTTAACCAATATAGAGAGTAACACCATTACTTACATTCCTCGTTATAACAACGAACGTTTTGTTCCTGCTGCTACTGTAACTTAACTACTCACTGCTCATGCACACATAAATTACAGTCATTAAAACTATGCTCCATTAATCGGACAATACCAATGATGTAAAAACCCGTGAATTTCCGGGTTAGAATATGGATCTTCAGTAACCCATGCTTGTCGTAAGAGGCGACTAAAGGGATCGGGTGGTCAGGCTCGCTGACTTGGTTGACACATGTCATCGGTTCCCAATTGCGCACATCGATGCTCATGTTGTTGATCACTGGATTGTCTAGTCCAGACTCGATTATTTACAGACCGCCGCCATATAGCTGGAATATTGCTGAGTGCGACGTAAAACTAAACTCACTCACCCACTCACTCAATGATGTAAATGTGTGTTACGTCAAAAATGAAAACGACAAGCTATTGTCTGCCCTTGTCTTTACAGAGCTCTCTCCCTTTCCGGATACTCGATTCCTAGAAATAGGACTCGATTCCAGCTGTACCTGACCCGGATTCGAGTACCCGAGTACCCGCCCCAGCCTTAGAATGCAGTGATTCATTTGTCGCCGCTGAATATGAAATACAAGTGATGTAATTGGCGTTTCAATACCGGCCTTCGGGAAACGTGATTTTGTAAACACTATCCAATAGGGCGCAAAGTGCACTTGGGCGTTCGTGTGAGTGTATTTATGAAAACATCTGAACACGATTCCAGGCTTATCGGCAACGTTTCAGAATTATTAGTGATTTTATTAAAAACTGATATCATTGTTAATTAATATGCTATTTTTGAAAGTCTATACTCCAAGTAATTATCCGATTTTGTTTTGATATGTCCGTCTGGCATCCCTTCCCATAGATGGATTTTAATTATATTTTTACTAATCATTTCAGCAATAGGCCTAATTTCTTTTTCATTCTTCGAATGTTTTTATTGAAGCAAATCATCTTTTAAAAATGCTGTATTAATTGATGAAAACTTAGTTAGCATAAACATTGCTCTCGCAACTGATGTGTAGGAAAATAAACATAACATTATTATGTATCTTTTTCTGTTGTGAGTGATATGCAGGCCTACTTCGTAGTCACTTTGATTAAATGTTATATTTGAATATCGAAACCTTTTTTGTCACAGCGAACACAACACTATCTCTTGTCATATTGCACGATAATATTTGGAATGTTTAACTTATTTTATAACAATATCTGAATGCTAATGTTATACACTGATAGGTTCATATAAGGAATACTATGGCACAATAGTATTTCTCTGCCGAATCGTTGCAGCGTTCTATAATACACTTATGAAATATAATACATGTTTCCCGTCCTTGAAGACATTGAAAAGAACTATTTATGCATTAAATGGAGGTTCACCTGATTAATGAGTATCGAGGAAATTATGTTCATCTACTACAGCGTTCTATAATGCACTTATGAAATATAGATCTAGTATATGTTTTCCGACCGTGAAGTCATTAACAAGAATTATGCATTTTCTGCAGTCACTTGTGAATTGAACTAAATGAAGGTCCATTTGATTAATGAGTATCGAGGTGATGCAGTCAGCCTATAAACAAGGCCATAGCACCGAGACTGCATTGGTCCGGGTTCAAAACGACATTCTACAATCAGTAGAGAATGATGGAGCTGCCATTCTTGTGTTATTAGATCTTTCCTCCGCTTTTGATACCATCGACCACAGAGTGCTTCTTCATACATTGGAAAAGAGACTTGGTATCACCGACAAAGCTATATCTTGGATTGAGTCCTATATCTCTGGACGGCACCAATCCGTTCACATTGATGGTACAACATCAAAGAAAGAAGAACTGCTCCTTGGTCCGATCCTGTTCACAATGTACACTTCACCTCTTGGGGAATTGTCATTCGAAAATATAATCTGCAATTCCATCTGTATGCAGATGACACCAAATTGTACATATCTTTTAAACCACAAAGTAAACCATCAGTTGAATTCTCCTTTGCTGTCATATCTAAATGTGTTTCTGGTATCCGTGAATGGATGGCTATCAACTTTTTGAAGCTTAATGATGACAAGACAGAGCTCCTCATTTTCAGTCAAAAATCCAATTTAAGACATCTCTCACTGCCGGCTTTCAAAATTGGTGACAGTATCATAGAACCAAGTAAAAAGGCTCGCAATCTGGGAGTAATTCAGGACTCTGTTTTTTCACTTGAAGACCATATCAGCCAAATCTGCAAACAAGCATACTTCCATATCAGGAACATTGCTCTAATAAGGAAGTATATAAACACACGTGTGGCTGCAAATATGAGCACATAACTCCAGTTCTGATGCATCTGCATTGGCTCCCAATAGTCAAACGGATAGAATTTAAGATTCTTGTGCTTGTATACAAAGCCTTTCACGGTATTGGCCCATCATACATCAACGAACTGATCCAGTGCCATCAACCCTCCCGTTCCCTACCTTCTAATAGTGCCCAGTTACTAGTTGTGCCACGTACGAGGACAAAAAGACATTTGGAGAGAGATGTTTCTCAAAAGCAGGTCCTATGCTTTGGAGCAACATCCCATTGGGCATTAAAAGTGCAGAGAAAATCTGTGCATTTAAGAGAATGTTGCAAACATTCTTTTTCAAATCATGTTACAGTTCCGAGTGACTCTTTCCTTGTCAGACTCATACGAAAGCGCCTTTGAGCAGGACTCATCTGGATATTGGCGCTATATAAATGTCTATATATTATTATTATTATTATTATCGAGGAAATT